CACAATTTTACTTTTGTATATAAATACAATGTAGAACATGTATATTTACTTTTAAGTACATTTGGAGTTCAAGTCTGTACTTTTACTTTAACCGAAGTTGCATAGATATCGCTCCTTTTACTTAAGTAAAGAATATAAGTTATTTTGACACCTCTGGCCGCAGGGTAGGAAATGCCTATAAAGTGGGAGCATTATATCCGTGAATATGGCTTCCATTTAGCAGGAAATTTGAAGTGTAAATTAACACGTAATAAAACAGACCTAACAAGAGCACATGTCGTAGTAGAGCACTGTCATTAAGGTGGGGAATGAATCATATTTTTGTAATAAGAGTGTAAACTTTCACAAAGTGCAGATAAGCTATTACCACTAACCTCACCACTATCAACTGTGACCCACAGCATGATACTGCCTTTACCATCTGCTACTATGGGGATGATGTATTGAGGGTAGTGCAAAGTGTTTTCTTTTCTCCAATCACAACGTTTTTAAATTGCAGTCTGAAATGTTGACAGTCTCATCTAATTAGGACACTTTTCCTGGTGTGTCTTCTGCTGCCTCTACATTGTTTAAGGCAAACTGTTTTCAGGGTCTCTGATCTCTCTACTGTGGATCTATTGCTTCCACTTAGTGAAATGTTTTTTTTTTCTCCAAGCTTTCAATCATTTCCAACTAAACAAGAAAGTGCTTGTATCATTAACTCCTCAGTGTTTAGTGAACAAATCAGCATGAAACTAAAAATGAATCCCAACTTTCCTCAAATTGCTTTGAAACATTCTGTGTTGTTGTTTTTTTCTATTTCCACATCTTATTTGTGTGTAACTAAGACATCTAATGCACATTCTCATTTATATCACAGACTGGATTTCCCAAGCCTCATGTTTTATCACTGCCCACAAATGTCTCTACATAACATGTGAGCTTCCCTAATTTGCCACCTTTGTACTCTTGAGAGAGCTTGAAGTCAGTAAAAAAAAATGGACTCTAAAAAGTACTGACACAAACGGGCGGGTCTAATCAAAGCAGTCCCCTCTTTCTACTGACAGCAGAGTAGGAACCCAAACAGGGGCCAATGGAGACGTTGCCCACTGAGGACACGGCCCTCTCATATAAGTGGAGCCTGTAATGACTATAATTCAGTCTCTGCTGTTTTTAGGGCATTGTTTCAGGGTTTTCTCTAAAGCAGCTTGTTTGAATTCTCTCTAGAGGCCTCCTAAAGCCGAGGCGTCCTATAACCTCCACCTTTAGGTGCACTTGGTGTTCTTTGAGTGTCTTTCCGCCTTGTCTGCAGACAGGATTCACCCACACACAGCCACTGCCTGCCAGATTTATCAGAGAAGTTCAGAATGTCAGAGCCTACTGTGTGCCTGAAACCCACCTCATTTGATCCATTGGTTTCTTGGCATTGCAGATAAAACTGGGCTGTGTTGGAATATTCTGCAAGAAAAAAAGGGTGAATGTTTCGGATCAGGCTGTTGTGAGGAGTTAGACACACGGTCGCTGCCTGTGGGGGTTTTCTTACAAGGCGAGATGAAAGTGTGTTTTAACACCGAGCTGCAGCTGCAGAAAGCAGCGCTCTGAATGCAAATTGGACACATTTAGAGCATCGGGCCCTCGTCTAGCTTAAGGCTGAAGGCAAAAATGGAACATTTCACAGACAGGGCCCGTTGAAGCCGAAAGAGGTCATGATGACTGAGCTTGAGCTTCTTTTTTTTTTTTCCAGGGAAATTCAAGGTGGTTTATAAGGACGCTTAGTGAATATGACAACCGGAGCAGGAAGAGAAGGAGGAGATGGTCTGCATTTTAATTTCTAAGCCAGACAGGCTCTGAACATGTGGAAACTAAACAGTACCCTCTGTTGGATGACATGGAGAATGCGTGCATGGAGGGTATTTGTAACCCTGTCAGAGAGGACAGAAGCAGGACGACTTACACTCTGCTCCATCTGTGAACTCCCGGAGCAGAACTCGGTCCTGTCAGGGTTTCTGACACAAAAAGACTTCCTTCTTCACATATCGTCAAACTTCTGTTTGAAAGTTTCTCTCCTGAGGCAGATGTTGAATAGTACACTGGAAGGATATCTACAGCCAGATGTCCAAGGGCCACTGGGTCCAGAGGAGGTCGTCTGTGAAATGAGAGCTGAGAGTTGAATTATGCAGAAGAGACATAGATTAAAAAGTCTCACTTCAAACCCAGGAGCTTTAGACATGTTTGAATTAAATACTGAATATCTTAATATGTGGATTTGTTTCATTGGAGGATTTGATTCCTTTTTTAAACTATGCTGCCTTTCAAAAGTATTCATACCCCTAACTTGAAATTCTCCCATACCACAGCCAAAGGGGTCAGTACATTTTATTGGGATTTGACTAAAACATTCTAATGCATGGAGATACCTAGATCTAAACTACTGCCTTGTAGACCTGGCAGAATGTTCAGGATCATTGTCCCGATGTAAACTGAACCTCTCCCCAGTCTTAATTTCCCTGTCATCTTTTGCTAGAATTCTCTATATCATAACCCTTTATAGGCCAAGGCTGAATGCTGAATGTCTGGATCTATATCCAGACATTCAGCATACTGTAGATACATGGCTACACATGGCTATACATTTTATTTGGCCATTTGACCAATTAGATGAGTCCTTGAATTTACTGTAAATGTAAATTAAGTTGGAGAAAATAATAACAAATCAAGAAAAAAAAGATAAAAAGCTAATTGAAAAGTTAGAAAGTAAAGCTAAAGGGTTTAGCTTTTAGTCTTTCACCTCACACACTGTTTTACATGCAATCCAACAAGTTCTATCTCTGTCTTATCTGATCAAATCCTCTGGTTTTGGCTTTCGGTAAAACTGCTAACAGGACTTTTTAGGAACTTTCTCTCAGTGATGGCTTTCTTTTTTCTTTTAGAAACTGATTTTAGAACAGGTATTTGAAATCTAGCCTGGTAAGTACAGAAGATTGTATACAGATAATGTTGTTCCCCGACATCCGTTTCCTCCAACATTTAAACCAAACCTAATACATTTTGTTTCCCTGATGGAAGTCAGAGGCAGGTTTCTATTGGTCACTGATCTCTAAAGGCTTCCAAGACTATATCTGGAGCAACAACTCGAAAACGCTCTAGGATAAATGTGTGGGAATGCATGTCAGGCACATTCTGTGGGGATTGAACCAGGTACTTGCAACCTTCTCAGAGCACAAGTGCACTGCTCTAACCACTAGGCCAACACTCCCCATGTTTGGCATCGTTATATTCTTTAAATCCTAATCTGCTGGTCTTTACATAGAATTTTCATCTAAAATATATTTTTTAAATAAACATGAAAAAAAAACTTTCTAGAGCGATTAGGATGCAGGAAAGCATGCTGAATGGATCACGTCCTGCATGCTTCTTATGTGCCTGTGAAAGTCACCATCATCTGATCATGAAGGAGGGGGCCACAATGAAACTCAAGCTGTTTTTTCGGTCTCCCATCCCCTCCCCGAACGTGCATTTGTCTCCCCAGAGACGTGTGTTCAAAGCGCACCGTTTAAAGAGCGCTGAAAGGATTAATATACTGCACTTCTTATTTCCTCAGAGAGACTGAGCAAATTTCAGCAGTCAAAGGCCAGCGGTGACAGATGATAACATAAATTTACAGAGAGCAGCCCCGTCTAACAGGTCTGCAGATGGGAGACATAACCCTGTGACAGCAAATGGGTTGGCTTCATTATTCCTACATCACTTTGCTTTTGACCTCTGGCAAATAAAACTAGGAGGTGGAGGACAAGAACAAGCCAATTTTTTCTTTTTCCAGTTTTTTTTTTTTTTTTGCTTGATTAAATAGAATATATTAAAAATAAAAATACTTTCTTTAAATTAGACCTATGTTTACTTTAGGTTCTTTCAGTTACATTTCAAAGACTGATTTGCTACACTGCAAAAAAGTATTTTAAGATTTTTCAAATGTGTTTTTTCTTCATTTCGGCAGGTAAGTAAAATAAGATATTCGTAACTGTAAATATATGGAGATTTGTTTTCCTTTTTTTAAACGCAAGACATCTTTTTTCTTCAGCACATTTTTTCTTAACTAGTCAAATACACATTTTAGGGAAGCTTTTCTTACTTTTAAAACACCTTTTGCAGTGCAGGTCTGTCAGCTTTGCAGAGATGTATGAAAATAGTCTGATTGGAGAGATTTGAATGTTTTGTCGCCTCATTTGACGGAAAACATAACTAAAGTATTGCATCTACAGTGTTCTATTGGAGCTTCGGCTGAATGTTTAGTTACTACCGGTATCCTGTTCCAAATTCAACACCCATAGATAAGAACATTAATTTGTCTGCAGTGGTTTTCGGTCTGATGCCCTTAGTTCAACAATCCCTTAAGAAAAGAAATTATGTGAAATGTAATAAATGGTGTCAAAGTTCTTAGCTGTAGTGTTTAAACAAGTTGCTTCATAAATGACCTAAAAAATAAAGAGGTTTGTGTTTCTACAGACTCCAAGTCACAAACAATGCCTATAAAAGAAAAACATGCTTTCATGTTAACGCAATATACGTAGCGCATTTATGTTTAGTTTTTTTTTTAAGTAAAAAAAAATATTTTTTGCAGGGGGTGCGATTAGAGATAAAAATGTTGCTGCCCCCTGATTGCAATAGTCAATACTTATCAAATTGTTAGCGTCCAAGCTTTTAACTCCGGCTTCAGTTAACATCAACATTCATATTTGCTTTTTTCCATTGCTTCCTTCTTTACTCATTCTGTGCAGGCAGTATACTGTAGCTCCAATCACATGGTTTTAATAAACACTCAAAACTTCTCATGTTTACAAACAAATTAAATAAAATGCATAAAAGATATGTCATAATTCTACCGGAAAACTTTTGAATACAGCAAGACTGAACTACTGGCATAAACATTTGTGGAATCATGAATTTGTGGAATCATGAATTTGTGAAATATGTTCCCGTAAAAGTCCAAGAAACTGAATGACTTAGACCACCACACATAAAAATGTTAACATTTATTGCTGTTTCTGAATACTGCACTGAAAGCAAAAGCATTCAGAGTATACACAGAAATTATACAATTATATATGGTTTCACAAAGGCAGTGAACACATACTGTATTACAATCTACAAAAAAATCTACTTTACAGAAATTTTAAATTCTAAATATCAAAAAAGTACAGCTGCAGAAACAGGTGTAGAACTGGAACCAGAAACCGGATATCAGTTGGTCAGTCGGTGAAACAACGTGGTGACATCACGATACAAAGAAAGCGCTTCGTCTTTGTACTTACAGCTGGTTTTGGGGAACTACAACCGGCAGACAAAAACCAAACGGTACTCCAGAAGAGGTCACTGAAATGAAATCATCATAAATTATGGTTTTATGCATTTAAAAAAAAAAGAAAAAAAAGCATCAGTTCACAGAGGACGCCTCTAAGAAGGTAGCATGTCTTTTAGCTCAGTGGGACTGGTAGTGTATCACTGTGGGAAGATGCTTTAAAGAGGACAGCAGGTGATGAAAGTAAAGGTTTCCCATCTCACAGGAACTGAGAGATCAGTTGTAGAAATAATGAACTGGCTGATGGACCATGGTGGATAAACAGGCCGACATATTTCAAAAACAATTTAAAAAAGTGGTTTTATTTCAATCAAAAGTTTCCTAAATAATAGCTGTATGTGGGATGGCTCTGTTTCAACAGTCTGGGCTTCAAAGGACTTCCTGTTGCATCACATGGCCAACAGATTGGAGTAAGTGGTCCAAACAATGAGCCGTATCGCCACAGTATTCAAAACAACCCCACTGAACATCAAAATAATAATAAAATAAAAAAAAATAAAAAAATCCAGCCAACTCATCCAGGGCTGCAGAAACCAACCCTGATCTGGGGGATTTATGACAGAAACCTTTAATATATTCCAGTAAAAAGAGAGAGGGGAGGGGGTTCTTTCTGTAGCCCACATCATCAGTGCCAGGTAGCCGTTTCAGACAGAGGAGTGTCCAGAGGCAGGACGAGGTGTTCAGCTTGTGTTTGAGGTGCCTTTCGTCCCGGCTCCCAGCCACAGTAAGCCTGGATTCAAGGACGAGCTGGTTTACGGTCATGTATGGTTGCAGGGGGTGGTCTTCAGTCTAATCCTGCTCCATAGGCTCCTCGGTGGTCTCAGTGTTTGAGGTGGCGCCCTCTGTGGGAGGCTCGGTCGTACTGCTGGACGGAGCAACAGCCACGTCCTCTCTGGCTGCCTCTGCCCCCTCCTCAGTACTACAGCTGCTACCGTTGCTGCTGCTGCTGACTGGGTCGCTGCTGCTATCCTCTCCATCCCTGCTGGTCTCTGGACTCTCCTGGATGCTCGCAGGGGCCTGCTGATCCATCTGATCCATGTCAGTGCCCTCCTCTTCAGAGCCACACGGTACCTCCCTCTCGGCCTGCCCCCCTTCCTCCTGCTGCTTTGATCCCTTGCAGGTCTCGGGCTGTGTGCTGCTAGTTGGTTCTAGAGGAAAAAAAAGGGAAAGGAGGAGAGAAAAGTTGTTATAACAAAGCATAGAAATGATTTAAACACACTACCTTACACACCTCACCTTTATATATATATATAGCAATTGTCAGAGGGTTAGAAAGGCTGGAATTAGACCATCTGACTCAATTATTGCCCAAATGAGGAGAAACACAAATATCTCTTTTTTTAAAAGTGTCGTCGTCATCCTCATGACAAAAATCCAAATGAATGAAAGATTAACTCATCAGCTCTTGTTTTCAGCATCAGTGGGTAAAAATGAAGTCAGTTAAGGCTAAAAGATGTAGGAAGTTATTTTAATTACATGTTGAATCAGCCGGTCTATTCAAAAGATTTGAAAAGGAAAATAAATGAAGCTCATTAAGGTTTTGTTTTATTAATCATTTCCAGAATCATTAGTGTGAGATTCTAAAGCCTGAATTTTATAATATAAAAAAGAAAGAAATCTTACCTTGCTCCTCGCTGGCAGCAGCAGAGCTGGAGGCTTCACTCTTCTCCTCCTCCTTCACTTGTACCATGGCTTCAGCCTCTTTAGAGTGGTGGCTGTTGTCTGAAGACCTCGGTGCCTCCGGCTCTTCCTCTTCGTCATCGTCGTCTTCCTCCTCATCTTTGCAGAACTTTAGCCTCTTCACCTCCTGGTGTTCAGCCTCCATGTCCTCTTCCTCCTCCTCCTCATCTGAGTGTTTGTTCTTCACAGCACTTCCTGGAGAGCCTTCTGAAGGCGAGACGTTGCTGACAAGGAATAAAGAAAGAGGACAGAAATAGATTCTAGCAGCCGTTTGTGTTAAAGGCAAACATTCCCTCGTCCATCATACTTCCTGACCTACCTGGTGTCTTTGTTTTCTTCCTGCTCCGTCTTGAGGTCTTTGTTGTCTGTGCTGTCTGGCAAACCATTAGCTGCTAGTGAGGTGGCCAGAGACACCTTTGGTCTGTTCAGCGGCCGAGGGGTTCCTGGACCGTTTACTTTCCTAACCAAAGACAACCAGAAAAGAAGAAAGACATCACCTGATTATTTTTTTTCTTCTTTCAAACCAATTCATTAAATAAAAGAAAAAATGTAATCAGTTTTGAACCTGTCTGTGAAAGCAGATGTGTTTCCTGGAAGCATCACTCCGTTCATTCGGTTAACAGCGCTGCATCCGTTTTTCCTGGGAATTGTTAAAAAAGGAAAATTTTATTGGTGTGTTTGGAAGCGTAATGATTGTTTAACCTGTGAATAACACTTACTCTGACGTGGGGTGGACACAGCTTACCACCATTACATTCTAGAACAGAAACGAAAGAGCCAGATTAAAAACAAACAAACATCTATTTCAAAGCAGTGAGTTGAAATCGATGATGCGGAGAACTTACCTTCTCCACCCCTCGTAGAAATTTCTCTGTTCCAGTGTAGTTCCTTTTGGGATCTGTGAGCAGCTCACACAAACGCTGGATTGTAAAAGGGATTCTAAAAAACAGAGGAAACAATGAGAAGCTTTATTATTACAGAGTGTCCCATTAAAACCACAGATGACGCACACAAAAAAAAAACAACTTTTTTGTAAATGAAAACCAGTGTGGTGCATCTTTGTTATAGATTCTCATTTTGTTTGAGTACAGATTAAAATGTTCTTCAGGTGTGTAGCTTTATAGTTTTACACAGCTTTATCCCCAACCTGCCTGATGGCCTCCTGGCTCTACATGATGGCGTTTCTTCACTTAGGATGTTAACAAGCCAAACTGGACCCTATTAACAGATTAAGAAGCCACCTGATGGAAAATGGATGAAACTGAATTTCAGTTTTCCCACCCTTTACTTTCAAATAATGTTTAAAACGATCAATTTTCTCCAAACTACACTTATATGCTGTAAGCTTTCATATTTCAGTTCCCATGGAGCAGTTTAATTTTCACAGCCCTTATTAGAAACAGCTGAGAATATTTTAATATAGTAATGATAAGAGAAATATGGTTTAATAATCGGTATAGTCAATGCTAAATTGATAATAATTCTAAGACATGTTTTTCCTTGTTTCCAGACCAATTACTTTTTTTTTCTGTGCTTTAGCTGGCATCACATCCCCTCTTCTCAGGCACTGTGCTGGTTACGAAAACAATAAAAGCAGCAACACCTTTCTCATGTCAAAATATTAGCGTCTTGTCGTTTCAGATGTCCTGCTGTTAAAGACATCTATGAATCTTTTTCCTTTAACAGAGACAAAACTGCTTGCTTACTGAAAATAGGGGCACACTGTAAAAGGAATACTGTCAGCAGACAGTTGGATTTTAATGTCTGAGTTACTGTTTACATCTTTGAATGACATTGACTGCAGTTATTTTCCCTAACACAAACGCCTCTATTGACAAATATGTACAAATAAGCAGCAGGGACGGCAGCAGTGAAATAAAGGTAGATACGACGTATTCATGTGCTGAAAACCAACTAACAATTTGAAACCTATCTTTGCATAACCAACACCTAATCTGCAGCAGTTTAATGACAGTATTCAGAGGTTATTTTGGGTGAGCTCATACCTGAATGTCAGTGGCAGCACAAAGCCAGGGTGGCACTTAAATGATAAGTCTGTTTACAAACATATCAGTTTGTGTGCATTTAATCTAGGGCTACAACTAACGATTATTTTCCAAATCGATAAATAATCGGTTAGCAGAAGCTTCTTTAAAGAAGACTTTTTTGGTAACTTAAACAGGTGAAACTAAAACTTTTTCACTTGAGTTCTGGATAGAGCATATTGGCAGATTTTATTTTTATTATATTTTATCATTATATAGGCTATAAAAAAAATAAACCATAAAAAAAAGAAAACCTGAAATTTTAGAACTGTAAATTTACAGTCATATGTTTATATTACTGTTTATATATTTTTTACTATTTTTCAAGGCTGCACTTTAAAAAAAATGAAATTGTCCAGAGAGCTGCTCTAAACAAAATGTATTTTTGTCTTACACTTGTTTAAACAAAATGACAAATCTGTCTAAGTCTAAGATGAAAATGTTTTTTTAATCTTAAATTAAAAATGTTAATGATTTTTAAAACAATTTTGGTATAATTACTGCTCTAAGTGGGTTGCTCTCTGTCACCTAAAGGCATGTTCTGGAGTCTCTATACTCCAGTTAACGATTAATCGATTACTAAAAAGATAATTTCAATAATCAATAACTTTTAATATCATTAATTGTTTCAGCCCATGTATTAGAGGCCTGGAACCAAAACCTATTCTAAACCTCTGCAGATCAGCAAAATTTCCTATATAGCGCCTTCATATAGGGATGCTTTGGATTGAAGTAATGTTGGGCTACTGGACGAATCTATTGACCAATGACTGGAGAATCAGCCCTTCAACGATTGTTTAAGAGCAATTGTTTTGTTTCTTTTTTGGACCTACAGGCTAAGACTTAATACAACAAATAAAAAAATCATAACACAAAAAAATTAAAAAGGCAAATTCTCTCCTCCAGTGAAAATGGAGAAAAAAAAAAAAATTCCCACCCTCAGTCTGTTCAAGTTTCACATTCAGATACAGTGCCCTCCACAATTATTGGCATCCGTTTAAGATGTGATCGAGGACTTTCTCCTTTTCTTTTAAACAACAAAGAACCCAAATGCAAAAAAAAAGAAAAATCCAACATTTTATTTAAGTACGTTACTTTGGTGGTAAAAATAAAATCACACATTCAGAAAATAAAAAACATGAAATCATGTGTCCCACAATTATTGGCACCTTTAACAATTCCGCTAAAAAATTGTAATTGATTTCCTTTAAATGTATTTTTCTGTAGTTGCTAAAGTTGGTCAGGGTATCTAGGAACTTTTAATTAGTAATTCATGACTTGCTGTTTCCCTGGGGTATAAATATAACGTGACGTAGTGGCCTAATTCTCTTAGCAATTAGTCAGCATGGCAAAGACAAGAGAACACACAATTCAAGTAAGGCAGATGAGCTTCGACCTTCATAAGTCAGGCAATGGTTACAAGAAAATAGCCACTCGCCTTAACTTGCCTGTATCTACAGTCAGAGGAATCATTAAGAAGTTTAAAACAACTCAAAAACATCTGGCAGTGGGTCAGGTGCATTACTTATTGAACGCCCCTTGTAAAAAAAACAAAACTAAAAAAAAACGACAGGCTTGTTTACCTTACTGGGTTTTAGCAGCGTGCGCAGGTGGTTAACAATATTACCAGCGTTGCAGAAGACACCCTTTGAGGGGATGCTTGTCATTGCCCGCAGTCACTTTCACTAATACATCATTGATTGCCATTTCTTGGATGAATTAATATTGGTTGGAACATTTTTATATATCACCCAACCATAATTTGAGTCTCGCAATTATGCACGATTAATGAGGATTTTGACGAAAAAAAAGCAGCAACTGAAAACTGATAGTTTTCAACTAATAAAACTCCATCAATAACCAAACTATACTTTAGATGAGATTTACATTTAAAAACAAACATTGTTAAAGGTTGGATGTGTTTTGCCAATCTCACTGAACCATTTATGCGCCACAAACAACTTGCTGATATGCTCTATAAATTCCAATTGTAACAAATACTTAATGAGAGGGTACCAGTGGCCCGAAGTCTGATATCAGAACTCATTAACAGACTGGTACTCTGCCCTGGAGCTCAGGTCACCCAGTTTTTGGCCTCCATGTTTTAGGCGTTTGCCTGCTGTGACACAGGTCAGTAGATCTAAAACATGAAGGACAGAGGGTGCTGAGGACAGCTGCTTGAACGTACCTTCTGTATGAAATAAATGTAGCTAGTTTCCAATGATAGGTACTGACTGTCTATAAAATTTACAATCTTCACGTGGCTTGTTCACGCATCCTCTGCTGCTAAGACATTAGATTACTGTGAGGTACTGACCCGTTGTATCCGTTCACAATCTTCAAGATTCTCTCCTTCATATCCTCAAATGGAACCGACTCCACATTTGGGTTGGCAGAAGTCCTTTGCTCAGGTGCTGAGGCTCTAAAGTCGTCCATCACTTTTTCCAATTTAAACAGGAAGTAGTTCTTAAACTGAGACCATGGAACCCTGGAGAAATGGAAAAAGAAATGGAGAAATGCAAACCCTACCATAAAAATCAATACGTCTTTTAAAAGTTTATTTTGAGTTTTATAGCAGATAGTCACTTCTACATAAATACATCTCAGTATCTAGATTAAGAAAATGTTACATTGTACAGCAACAAATTATAAGTTGATGTTAAAAATTTGGGTGTTACAATCTCAGAGAATATGTATCCACGATACTGTTAAATAATACCATATTAGCATCAACCACCATACTTGACTAAATTTTCTTACCACGTTAAAACCTTAAAAAAAGTTAACATAAATTTCAACGATTCAGTTAAAAAAATAAAAAAAAAACACATACAGGTGCATCTAAAAATAAAGCAGCATATTGCACAAAGGTGGTAACTTTTTGGCGAATCATTTTAGAAAGTTAGTTTTATAGATTTTCACAAGAGTAAAATATTTTAAGCTTTAACAATTATAATTTTGAAGATTACGTCTTACATGTAATGAAAACTCCAAATTGAACATCTTTCAAATTAGAATATCCCACATCACAGCAGACCTCCTTCTTACCCATGATAGTGCTCTAATGCTACGTTCACACCTAAAGCAGCAAAGGCACCTAGTTTACATTCAAAGTCAATGGTTGACGCGCATTTTGAGCAGCAGGAGCAGCGCATCTGAGCAGCGTTTGAGCATCTGACGCTGCAAACGCAGCTGCGTTTCCTGCTGCGTAGGAAAAATTTAAATTTTTGCTGCTCGACGCGCCACATCAACCAATCAGAAAAGCTATTCTGGGAGCTGGCAGGGAGAGAGACACACATCGCTGATGGTGCAGATCACTATGATCGCTCCTCTGAAACAGTATATTAATGCATGAATTAACTTAAAAGGCTGAAATCTGCCGGCAAGACGCGTTCGCTTTTATTATCCTGGTGCCTGTAGTTTGGATTTTGTACGTGAAAACCACCTTCCAGCTGACACGGCAAACCACAAAGAGAGGACCAGGCCATAGGATGCTGTTGAATGGGATTCCTACAGACAGAGCTCCACCGGTATGGCAGGATGGTAATCGTGATGAACTGACTGCACAGATGAAGTTTTCAGGTGGATTTTCTCACTTAAAAACATATCAAAACTACTTTATTCCCACTGATCACAGCAAATATAGCTGCCATTGTTACAGGCAAAGAATGATCAGGTAGCTCCACGCAACGCGCATCAGACACACTTTTCCACTGTGCAGCTGGAGGAGCAAAGATGCTTCAGCTGCGCGTCAGAACTAAACTTGTACAAGCATAAAAAAATAAGCAAGAAGCACATTTTTGTTGCTCTTGCTTGAACAAGCATTACTGTTGACCTAGTAAAAGGTGAAGGAACAGGAGGTATGAGCTACAATTAGTCCAATTGGGAATCACCCAATGACTTCTGGACATCTGTCCAATCAGCAGTCTTTCCAATGTGTAGCCTACTGACCGATCCTCAACGGGGAACATTTGCAGGTGGGACTTAATTAGCTGATAGTATTCTAATTTTCTGAGACAATGAAATTGGGGTTTTCATTACCTGTAAAATACAAACTTTAAAATAATAAGAAACTAAGGATTGGAATACATCACTATGTATAATGATTCTATACAATATAGGAGGTCTTCTTTCTTAAATCATTTCCCCAATATTCCAGTTTTTGTTTTTAGATGCAGCTGTGTTAGAAACTATTCCACAGATTATGAATCAAGGCCATTTAAAATATGGTATCTAAATAAATGTTGAATCCAATCAGTCATTTTTGATCAAGACTTTGCAAACACTGACATTACATTAATGACAGTAGTTTGATATACTCAGCAGCTACAGCTAGAATAGAAAAATGGGCAGCAGGGTAAGCTGCTTAGTTCTGGGTTTCAGCCGTTTTCCAATATGTTTTGTTGTTGGTGTGGTTGGCATCTGTCAGAAATACAACATGTATCTTTACACTCCCCTGAGGTCTTCCAGCTTTAAAGGGATTTCCATTTCTATATCCGGTCAATTTTTTTATGCCTTTGACCCAACTAGCCAGGGACTTTTACAGACTGAAAGTCAGCAGGATTTTCCCCAATGTTGTGATATTAATGACTAGTTGCTATGAATGAATAGTGTTTATTTTAGATAAACCAATGATGTCAGAGAAACTTATTTTGAGAAAAAAAAATGAAAACAAACCAAGTAAAACCTTCATATTTACTGTAAAAACAGAAAGAAGATAATATTTACTGAATCCAATCCAACTTGAATCATCCAGTTAACACATCATACATTTCAGTCTAGTTTAACCAAATATGTGTAGTTTTGGAGGTTCCTCCATCTCTTCCTCTGTGTTAGTATTTATTTACTTAAAGGTCTTCACACAATACATTTATAATTTCACTCTTTTGTGGTGTTTTTTTGGTATTAGGTTGTTTACTATTATGGGTGCCACATTTAGTAAACACATTTTGTTTATCTGAATTATTAGCTACTTTTTTTTTGCTGAATTTGAAGGACTGGCTGAATGGAGAGGAATGATTGAAAGGCAAACCAGGAAGTGGAACGTACCATCAGGCTGCTGGAAGCAGGGGACTGGATTTTAGAGTCTGCTTCTCTCTCTCTACTAATGGCATAAATGTTAAAACATTTTGGTGTTACATTGTTTTCTTTTGAAGGGAAAAGGACACATCAAACAGAAGGAGATTGGCTGCCAATGAGCATTTGAGTTTAAGACCTGCGGTTGTTAGCATCTGCTTCTGAACAACCAGAAAGCATTCAATCCTTTCCTCGCTGTATATAACCCCTTATATATTCTATACATCCATTTGTGTTTAATTTACAGTACATACATCTTGGATTGTCCCTGTGTGACAACGGTTTCCTTCTCAATTTTTCTGTTAAAAGACAAGAGACTCCTTAATACTAAAGATCTCTGGTTTAAGATGACAACATCCAATTTACACTGCCTCTGCTCTGCGGTGCAGAGCCCAGGGGAGCACCAGTCGTTATGTTTTCATTATATAATGTGTACAGCCCCCGTAATTGATCTAATGTTTGGGATTGCTACAAACGCTGATCAATATCGCAAGGTTTTTAAGTAAATACAGCCACGTTAGCAACCCATTTGGAAAATCTGTATTTTAACTGTGGTCTTGGTCCGAGGTCAGTCAAAAATAATAAGTGAATTGAATTATACCGACGTGCTGTCTGCTAGCAACCACCCAGACATGGTAATGTGGGGATAAGTTGTTGATCATTTCTTAAGCTACATTTTGTGTGCGCTTCAGCAAAATTCAAATGCTGAACTTGAGTTTGGTTATGGTCCATCTGTAGCGGCGTCATTTCATCTGAGATAGTGACTTGAGACTAAGGACCAGTGCAATCAACAAAATTCCATGCTACTAGCAGCAATACAACTTGATTTATAGAGTGCCTCCATGTTAAAGTGCTTAAATATATAAGGACCATGTTGACAAGTAGCAGCTGCACAGCGACATTTACATTAGAAAATAATGTAATACTCTATTCTAAACTGAAAACTCTCAGCTTTCTGAGTAAAGAGAGAATGGGCCAATATGTTTTGCCTTTAATCTTTTAAAAGCATTTCACTTGAATAATTCTGATGTGTGTTAAGCCTCTAGTGAAGCGCTATGCAAACAACTATAATCCATTACAAATATTTTCCTTTTTTCAGTTTTAACACATCTAAATAATGTTTTTATTTTATTCTCTTTGCACATAACACAATAAGGTAGATAAAAACTGTTATTTTCCCTCCGTGCAACTAGTAGGCAATTATGCTCTTTGGAACTCAACAACATGTGGGTATGAATACCCCCAGTTTAAAAAGGGACAATCAAATATTATAGGGGGTGTACCAGGGCTTCCTAAATGAGACAAAGGTCGTTTCTCAATATGTGTACTAGTGCGTTCTCATGTGCTCCTGTACTTGTGAAACGTCATAAACCTCAGCCCTAGTACTGTTCCAATTCTTGTGAATTGGAACAGTATTCACAAGAAGACCAAGAACGGACAAAGTCCCCGGATGTTGTTCTCACAGCTCCCTATTTACCCAGTATGCATCAGAGCAGACTTGTTCGTTCTTTAGATTGACAGCTCTTCCAGCATGCACTGCAGCAGCAGCAACTTTTAATGGATCACTCACAGAGCTCAGAGTATGAAGTTAAAAGTTCTCTTTTCTGTTGCTGTTGTTCAGTAAAAGTACGTTTTAAGATCATTTGAGGCGAGAATATTATACTTTTAAGCTTCACTAGATGGCCCATTTACCAATTTAATGCGTAATAAAAAAAAAAAATGTCCGAAGTCGAGAGGACCACGGCAACCAGTGGACCTTCGAGGGTAACGGCAGCCAGGGCTAACCGCAGCCTGTCTGGAGCGCCCTCTTTCGGCATAGCCGTGTGTGAAGGACCACTGGCTTTGATGGAGGTTTGATTGTTTATTTGATTTGTGTTTATCTGACTGTTAATTATTATTCCCCCACTAAATATAAAAAGTCAGAATTTATTATTATCTAGAGACTATTAATAACAGGAGGAGAAATGCAGCTCTTGACGAGCCGAGCGTGTGGTGACGTCACGAGTACGCCAATGTTCTGACTGACCCATATTTATGCTGCATGCTCCCGTTCTCCCCAAGTCCATACTTTCCTGTGTTGTTCTCAAGAACGTACTTGCCTAGGACACAAGTCAGTACTGGCATTCTTGTGAATTGAGAAACTGACAAATTCTATTTTTACTGTGTGGACAAAGTCTTTAAAACATTCCACTCAGAAACAGAAAACTGTATAAAAGCAACAGAAATGTTCCATTTTCACAAATAGCTAGTGTCTGGAGAGGGTCTCAAGCCACATCGAAACTACAGAACTGATTCCTTTATTTTATTTTATATACTGAAAGTATTTTTTTCCCCCTTGTCTCTCTTTGGTTACAGTTAATAATGTTTTAGGACTGTTAACAGACTCCAGCAGGAAAAGAAAAGAGCCCTTAAGTGACCACAAAGGTTAGAAGACACACAGCGCAGCGGGTTTACTGAGGCACTATTAGACACGTCAGCATGTATGTATCAATTTGAAGTCACTGTCTGACAAAAGTTACGGCTGCTTCGTTAAGGGTGTCTTCCATGTTTGTTCTACCCATCATCTACATATAGTCCCTCCATCTGGAACTTTAAAAGTCAAATTAAAAGCAAGACCTAATTTCAGACTGGGGTTCTTTACCATGACCAAAATCAGACTTCTAGGTGCAAAAGGAACCCATCATACATCCTACACACAAGGGTTCAATAAATGTGACAATTCCATTAACTCTCTAAATAAATACGTAGTGTAAAAACTTTTTTCGGACTTAAATAATTGTTCATCTTTAAAGTTGTAACAAGCAGGTATTTGAAATAAATTCAAACAATTTTTTATGTGTAAATAAGCATTAAGTGGATTTCACTTACATGGTCTGCCCAGTTTTGGCAACATGGCACAGAAACTGTTCCAAAAGGGGGGAAGGCTCCTTTTTCGCATTCTTATCAAAATCTGTAATAAGAAAAAAAAGAGGAGGGAATCAACATACGTGCACCACCACGAAGTCCGTGTAAATGAACGAATTTCGATTTCCCCTGGCGTAATAAAACAGTGTATACATCACTCAGCCATTGAAACTGTGTTTTTTGTGTTCATTTATCTACTCCGAATACATTTAATATCAGTTAACGGCGGATCGGCACCACCTTTCCCAGGAAGTCCGAATATTTTGATTTTCCTGGTTATATTACATAATCTGATCTAGTCCGAGGCGCTTGCTAGCTAAAACTAGCACAAAACAACCTAACTGCTGGGAATGCTAAGTTAGCCTAAACAAGGCAGCCGGTTGTACACAAAACCCGAAGGTTCTGGCCTAAAAGTCAACATAAGCCCTTTACCTAACATACTGCTAACGTCTTCTTGTTTAAATATACAAATATATAAAAAATTTCAACTTATTGGATTCTTCTACTAGCGAACACCGTCAGCACACGGCTAACAGTTTCCGTCAAAAAGCACTTGTTATGTTAGCATTGGCTAAAGCTAGTAGCAAGCTAATGACAATAGCCACTGATTCAATCTATTTATTCTTGCTAAAAAGCCAAATAATTTCGAAAATAGTTATTAACGAGGCTTTATTAATTAAAACGAAGCAAGTGAAAATGAATGGAAAGACCTCTGAGCGCCTCTTCAAGCGAGTCAATTTCCATCACGTCGTTGCCCTCGTCAGGCTTGGGGGATGTAGAAGGCAGAGTGGTGGCTAGCTGCTGCGGCTAAGCTACAATATAGCAGGCAGTGAAGAGGGAGCATTTCAATATGGCGCCGTGAGGTCACTGGCTGTTCAGCAGCAGACACAACACCAGCCGTGGGAGTGGAAATAAAAAATCCTTCACCATACTTATACTATACAATATAAAATAAATAATGTTTATGCTTGTGTGTATTCTTCCTTATGGCACATTTGTGTACTTATATTATCCTGACAGCAAATAATGGGTTTGTTTTTTTATATATAGATGACAGGAAACCATTTAATTAGCATCCCATTATTGAATCCAGTATTGTTGAATAAATTATGAATTCCCAATCTGTCACTGGGCATATAACTATATCATTTCATTAATAGTCCAAGATACATAAAAATATTTTATTTCTAGGATCCTGTATCTACTTAAGAGGATTTATTTCATTTAAACTAAAATTACAAGTTTAAATATACAACTACACCAGATAGTCTTTGCAAAATGTTTCTACTGTTGCATAATGACAATAAAGATAAATAATTTGCTTTATATATAGTATTCAATGGATCCTTGGTAAAACTGGTTTATTTCAAATAGATCGGAAGTCAGAGCTACGCACCAGGCCAAATGATAAACTTAATTTTGTTAAAATTTCCTTAGACTTCTGGTGTTATTGTTCCCATGTTCCCATTCTTGAAATCTATCTAAAATCATTCTAAGAGAGTAAGCTGTTTTACTTATTAAGCTCTAACTATACTAACTTTATCTAGGGAAATTTTAAAAAGAAAATATAGAAATAGGCTTTATACGTTTTTCCCAAGAAGGTCTATGCAGTCTGAAGAAGAGCATATTTCACTTTCAAACCTAAGTGTACACACAGCATAGAGTTTATGTAAAAACTGGGCTGAAGTAGCTTCAAAACAATGTGTTGTTTTATTTTGAAACATTTCGACTGCACTGTCATTTTAAGTTTCCATGATGAAATATGTAATATAATTACAGCATTACATCACATAAAAAAAACAACACTCCATCATACACACACATACACTTCTATATCACTCAATATCCTCTGATAGTAAACATGGCACACAATAATATTTATATGGCACATTATCACCCATCGTAAGTCACCAATAAAAAAAAAACTTGCACATTTTGTTCGCCTTAGTCAGGCAAAGTCACTTAAAATATGGACATTCACTTACAAACAACAAAAAATAGAAAATACATCCAGTCCCAATATAAAAAAGTGCATGTTAATCTGTATTCAATAGTTAAAATAAAAAAAAGATTTCATTTGTTGTGCTTTACTAAATACTGATGGTGGCATCTAGCCACTGCAGAAAAGATCCAGAGATGTTGAATTCTTCTCATACCTGCAGACTCACTTTCAATATTGCTGCTAAAACATTCATATCTCTGGTAGTTTAGGGAGATTTTTCCTGGAATTTACTTGCAGGAAAAAAGGTAATTTTCTACTATTGAAAACACACAAAGAAATCCCTAAACAGACTAGGATTTACCTGTGTTGAAATGTTCCTGTCAAATTGTATACTGAATATTTTTTAATTTACTGTTCACAGGATGCTCTCCCAAGGATGGAGCTTTTGTTCATTTGTAAAACATGGGCATAAACTTGGTAGGAAAATGCATCGACTAGATTTAAAAGATGTTTGGCTCCGTTTCCAGCTCACAATCCTGTGCACATCGTGTCGTCCCGTTCCAAAATGTAAAGGTTAAGGGGAAGTAAAGACTTTTGCAAGGCACTGTCACTCTGTCATGTTCTGAACCTCATTCCAGGAGGTCGAATGTGTCCAGCACTACCCTCTGGGAGCCTCCAGTTTGACCCAAATGATCCTGGTGTCATTCCTCATCCACGTGGAGCCCAGTTCTCCCTCTCGGTCATTTGCGCGGCCTGACGTGGCGTACCACCCTTTCCTCAAACACCTTCCTCATTGTCTTTTCTATTTGCTTGAGAAAGACCTGCGGGATCCGACCGCACAGAGTGTTGACTGTGTCCAGGAACTTGTTCTGGATGGGATAGAAGAGGGACTGGAACATGTTGTCCTCGAAGGGGAACTGCAGAGACAGAAACATACCCCACCACCACATCAATGTCTATCTTAAAGCTTTTTCAATCTGTTATTTTTAAATTTTAAGGAATCCATCACAGCCTGGTGACAGCGTTTAGAAATTCTGTCAGCTGGGATAGGGCAGGTTTTGCGTATTAATCCTAAAATTATGTGCAGAATTGTCTTTAAGAGGCTTATCTCAGCTGAGCAGAGGGAGCTGACTTCACTGCCAGAGAGAACGCTGCCTAAAATTAAAAACTGACCCAGATTGTTTAATGTGAGCTTGAGAAAATTAACACAGACGACAGTCTGGCTATTTTTTTCAATGAGCTCTCTTCATGAGCTAAAAGAGCAGTACATTCTGTTTAACCCAACTTTAGGTGGAAGGTTTTTTCACTGGTGTACAGTAAAACTTCAGCTTTAAGAAAGGCTAGAACATTGTCACAAAAAAGGGGTATGTTTGTCATTACAACTTATGGTATTTTTTTTTTTAACCTGAAATCTACAAACTAATTAAATTTATTGGGATTGAATGTGAGACACAAACCGGTACAAAGCTGTTAAAAGAAAATTTAGCATGTTTAAAAAGGAAGAACATAATAAAAAAATATAATAAACAGATGAAAGCGTGGCATGGGTGTATAATCAGCCCTTTCCCTCCATTAACCCAAAACAAAAATCCAGTGCAGCCTTTTATTTTTAGTAGTTATTCCAAACTGTCTGGATTAAATTGACTCAAAGTGCCTTGAGATGTTGTGAAGCGGAGCTATACAAATAAACTGATTCAATTAAAAATATTCCAAGTCTTGAACAATTTACTAATTATGATCCATCTAAATTGACACCACAGGAGGAAGGAAAAGTATTTAAAGAAGCAGCCGAGAGGCAACTTTGGAGAAAGCACAGAGATCCATGTGTCAGGTGGAAAACTGTTACCTCCACAACTCTGGCTTTTTTTAGAGCAGTAAAAAGAAAGCTGCTTATTAGCAGTCCTGCTGACAGTTTACAATAAAACAGGTGGGGGACACAGTGGGAATGTGGAAGGGGTTTCCTTTGGTCAGATGAGATCAAAATGGAAATTATGGCCAAAAGCAAAAACTATAAGCTTGGATACCTCTAAGATGTCTGCTACTCACTTTACTGCCATTCGTTTTACTCCTGCATCAGGAAAACTCAGACCCTCTCTGCTGGAAAGCCCAGAGGTTTTATGCCAAGAAACATACTTGCATCACTCAATAAAAGTCACTGATAAATGTGGAAGTGCAAGGAAAAAAACTGGAAGAGGGACATAAAGCTCTAATTAAAACTGTCTGCCTTTTTCTTTTTGTTATGCATCTAGTTTTTTTTTCTGCAGCAGGTGAGGACAATGAAAATAAGGTTATAAGGTTATGTTCCACAGTGAGGAAGTCAGGTGTATAATGGCAGAGGAGAAAAAACGCATCTCAGAAGGCAAAAATAAAACTGTGCAATTAATTAAAAAAGTAATTCAGGTAGAAATTAGATATATTTAAGTTTATAATGGAAGAAAAAGAAAAGTGGGAGTAATAAAACTAATATTTCCGTAAAAATTCAAAAAATATCCACTGGACTTGGTTTTCAAGATTTGACGACGTT